GCAGAGGAGCCAATCAGCTAGATGTTGCTGGGGCCACTGTGAACCAATCATCAGCTGGCAGTCTGAAGATTGCTGGCAGCTGGAAGTTTGCTGGGGCCCCTTTGGCTGTGGCTCTCAACAGTGTGCCTTTTACTTATGTAAACTATAGCTCAATAAAATCTAGTCACTAAAAGTAATATTTTTTTAAAATCCATCAGGACTAAATCTGACAAATAATTACAAATTGATTAGTCTTCACAAGAAAACTTCACAATAGGCTATGCTATGAAAATAGTCAATTCAATAACCCACAAAGAAGTTAAATAACCAAGTTCTTCCCATGGCTCTACTCTGCCATCCATAGTGTTGCTATCATTTGAAGGCTAGTTCCCCTCATGGTTACAAAACTGTCAGTTGTGAACAGGACTTTCATGTTCATTAGGAGAAGGAGATTCACTCCTTGATTCCTCTGAGAAGAGGAAGAAGCAATTTCTTAGCAGGACTAACAATTCATGCTATTCCTAAACCAACCATTAGTATGATTGTGTTGTTGACTTGGATTAATCCATATTCATTCACAGTATCCCAAGTCACGTGAGCTTCAAGAAGGAAAGTGTGACTTTAAACAATATTGAAATATTGTTTTTGAGGGAGAAGGGATGAATAGACAGCAAACATAAACCACAATCCTCTAACTGGATTCCTCATTTTAAAAATTCCATTTACAACATTTTTAACTGTTCCAAAGCATTTCATCCAAAATTTTATTACACAATATTTCATCAAAACTTTACACTGAAGAATTGCTTTAATACAGTTGAACTGTGCCTCATTATTTCTTCTGTCCTTGAATCATTGAGCTCATCCCCAACAAGTGTGCACTATTGATGATTTCCATGTAGGAAAAGAAAAAACTTGTGATCTGTTTTAGTCATGTTTTTTCCTACTGTGACCAAAATACATGAAAAAATATTTTAGAAGAGAAAAAGTTCATCTGGGGCTCATGCTTTCAAAGGTCTCAGTTCATAGATGGCCAGTCCCATTGCTCTGGGCTTGAAGTCAAATACACCATCAGAATAGAAAGATGTGGAGGAGTAAAGTGGCTCAGGATATGTCCAACAAGAAGCAGAAAGAAAGGGAAAAACGGAATCCTTTCACCACAACAAAATACCCACATTCAAGGCACACCCTCAGTGACTCACCTCTTCAGCCACACACTTCATGCCTTCAGTTACCATTTATTTAGTCTCTATCAGGGAATTAATGCACTGATTGGGTGAAGGCTCTCATAGCCCAATCATTTCAACTCTAAACTTTCTTTCATTGTCACACCATGAGCTTTTGGGAGACACTTCATATCTAAACTGTAACATAATCCATGTTTCAGAATTAAAATCATCTGAATAAAATTTATATCCAAAGGGGTCTAGAGGGTTGTCAGTTGTCAACATATCTCCACCTTCAGAGAAATCAGCCAGCTTCATTCAACATTATCATTTCTACAAAATGATAGTCACATGAAAGTAAAAGTATTCTGCCTAGTACTGAACATTCTACCCAAAACCTTAGTGGCTTAAATCCATAAATACTGTATGACTTCTTACAATTCTTTGCAGTGATTAGTGATCAATAGGATGATTTCTGATTCTATATCACTCTTCAAAAACAAAACTCACATAAAACCTGTTCACACACATTGATGTAAAGATGCTCTAGAGAAAAATAAGTAAAAGACACCAAAACACACTCAGACAACACAAGGTAGAGTGAAGAGTTCCAGCACTGGCTAGACACAGGATTCAATATATCACTCCTGTTCAATTACTCTCTTTACTGAGGCAGTCAAAGGCATTTTGAGTAAAATGTATCTTTTGAAAATTCTTACCATCATTAAGGTGCAGAAATAATATGGGGTAAACTCACCGTACATAAAGTAAAATCTCCCACAATTATTGTATTAGGTGCTCTGTAGGAAGTAAACTGATAAATTCTATATGCAACATTAACATTTCCTCAAAAGTGTAATAGTTGACCACATAACTAAAAGTCTATGGAATGTCTTTCATAAAGAAGAACTTATGAGCTAGCTCTAGAATAATGAATGCAAATCCAAACAGATGTCCACAAAAAGTGTTGATTCATAAGTAGACCTTCATCATTTCACAAACTGATCATTCACGATTTTTACAAAGTATGTCATTCCAGCCCCATTGCAATGATGGAGCACGATGATTTATCACCACACAATGTTCTTCACTATGACTTGGCTCACCTGGATGCCAGAATATGAAACAGAGAAAAAGGATGAAGTTATTCTTCCAAGACTGCTTTTAAAGGGGTTAGAGTCAGTTATGGGGTCAGAGGCTGGGGTAGAACTTTGTGGAAGCCAGGGTCAGATATGCCCAGACCAACCCTTCCCAATTCTCATGCAATTTCTCCTCCACCAACACCTCTGGCATTTATCTTCAAAATTGTGCCCTCATCACTCATATTTTATCATACCTTACTGCACTAAACATTTGACCAAAAGTTACCCATGGGCTCTCCTCTAAACTGTTGCCAGGAGACTGTCAATCCTTGGAGCTTTCTTATATAATGAAGAGAAGTCACCATGGTCCCATGATTCAAAATAGGGTTGTGGGGTTTTTTTTCCTTTTTAATGGGATGACTTTGAAGTCTGAAGAAATAGTTAAATCTCTAGATCATCTACTTATTTCCATTTTCTAAGTCAAATAATTTAATTTCTTAAATTTTCAGTTTGTCCATCTAAAAGCTGGACCAGAGTAACAGCACTATGTATTCCATAAAGAAGATATAAGGATCAAAGGTGGAATTATACTAATGTACTTAAATGCCTTTAAAGATTACATAAATATGAGATATTGTAACTGTATCCAAACTGAGGGTTTTTGCTTTATGAGAAATATTAAATCACAATAATCCATAATGATCTTTAAAAACATGAGTTTTTATTACAGAGAATAAATAGAGTTTTTAAAAGCAAAGTAGAATCCATCCAGTTCTAAAGACTATTGTTGGGTGACCTTAGCTGAACTATCTATACTCTCCAAACTCAATTTCCTCTGTTCTATAATAGGAAAAATAATGTGTGCCTCCTAGGGTTCTGTGGTAATTTCATGAGGTAATAAAACTGATTAACTGTGTGTACAACAGGACAAGAGTGAGGTGTTTTAGTTTCAGAACTGATGCTGGAACACTCTAAACTTCATGCATAATCTAGACCCAGGATTCCTTTATTGAATTCTCTACTCACGTGGCATTTGGTTGTATGGGGTCTGATCAACCCATTGCCAGTGTCCTTCACCCTCTGGATCTGATAGCCCCACTAAATAAGCAGCGTCTTTATGCATATTCTGAGTGAGGAAATCCTAAAGGAAAGGAAAAAGAAAAGAAGTCATAGGCTTTAGATACTCAGCTTGAACTGAGGTTTTCTTCTTAATTTGCCACATCATGCTATATACTGGCATTAATATAACAGAATGAAGTCCATTCTCATGTATAAATATAATTCACCAATAAAAATACTTTTTAAAAAAATTTTTGATGATTTATTTCTCCTTTATTATTTAATTGTAAAATCTATCAGATATCGTGATAATTTGACACATACACAGTGCATAATGATCAAATTGGCATAGTTAACATTTCAATTTTCTTTATATTTTTTAAAGATTTTACTAACAACTAATAATTATACATATTTAAAGCTACATTGTGATTTTTCAATTGAACTCTGTATGATTATACAGAAATGAAAACAAAAGGAGAGGGTTCAGTAATAACCAGATGGAGACCTCAGAACTGCACATCTTTGAGCACAAAAGGATCAAAGACATCATCTATAAGCCTTAATTTTATTAAATATGTAAGCAATTCCTGTCTACAAAGATAATAAATTTCCATCTCAAATTCAAATTCCCTCTCTTCTTCACTGAGAGAACATTCTTCAAAGTTTTGCATAAGAAAATTGTTACAAATTTAATCATTTTTATTTCATAACATCATGAGATTTTTTTGTAACAGAAATTGAACCCAGGAGTGCATAATCACTGAGCAACATCCCCCACCCTTTTTTATATTTCAATTAGAGACAGAGTCTTTCTAAATTGCTTAGTCCTTGCTACATTGTGAAAGATTGCTTTGAACTTGAGATCCTCCTGCCTCAGACTCCCAAGCCCCTGGGATTACAAGCATGTACCACAACAACCAGCATTTTACAAATTCTTAAAATTTAATTCCTGATTGCTGATTGTTAAACCCCTTATGATTTAACTTTGCCCATTCAAGTTAATTCTCCTTTCTGTTTAGCAGTTGATAAATGAGAAAACAGATGTATATTGAAATAACTAACTGCTGTTGTAGGCAGAAACATTTTCATCCTTTCACTAAACCCCCAGGTCTTACATGTTGAATGTCACAATTTCCTTGGGGGAGTTATTTACACTGAAGAAGGTACAAGGTTTGGAATGGGAAGGCTGAGGGAGCCTCTATTATCTGTCTTATGGAAAGTCTTCTGCCACAGCATCAATATCCCTTCTTAGCAAAGACAAGTACAAAAGTCAGACAGGCTGATGATGCCATTGTCCATTAGAAAGTACCTGCTCTTCCTTGCTGTTGATCACCACCAGATGAGCTGCCATTCTAGAGCAGTTCTTCTGACTCACATTCCAAGATTTCACATCAGTAGAAAAAAAGTAGCAACTGGAACTAAATGACTTCCAATTCTTTGGGCAACAGCTCCAGACTTTTCCTTTATTGACAAGAATGGCAAATAGGTATTATATGAAATTGTATTTTTAAAGTGTGTGTGTTATTAAATTTACAGATCAAGGAAAACAGCATGAAAGCTGCAGTTCTCATATTCACCCAGATATAACAAGGAGACCCCTTTCCTCAGTTGCCAAGGAGCCAAGTTACCTCAATCAGTCAATAATATGTCAGAGCCCCTTTCAGCTGGTGGACTGTATCAGGAAAAAGAACAGCTAAAATATAATATTTACATAAAACCTAGACTCCATAACATCAATATAAAAATATCCAAATTTCATCACAAAATAATTAATCATACCAAGGACCAGCGAGTTCTCAATTTTAGTAAAAAAATTGACAATCAATAGCCTCCAAAAAAAACTCAGATAACAAAAATGTTAGAATTACCTAACAAAGATTTTAAAGTAACCATGATAAAAATGCTTCAACAAAAAGATTCAAACAATCTTGAAACAAAGGAAAAGCCCTAAGTAACTTAGAAAATCCCTGTGTCAAAATAAAAAATAAAAGGGCTGGAATGTGGCTCAGGGATTTGGAAGCCCAAGGTTCAATCTCCAGTACCCAAAGTAAACCACCCAAAAAAGAAACAAAGGAATGCTCACTCATAATGGTAATGGTGGGGGGAGCCTGGGAGTAATGGAGGAACTTTAGGGCAAGGGAGAGAGGGTAAGGGAGGGAGCAAGGGGGTAGGAAGGATGGTGAAATGAGTTAGACAACATTACCCTAAGTACATGTATAAGACACAAATGATGTAAAAATACTTTATGTGCAATCAGTGACTTGAAAAAGTGTGCTCTATATGTGTAATATAAAATGAATTGCATTCTGCCATTATGTATAACAAATTAGGATGAATAAAAAATTTAATAAAAAAGAAACAAAAAAGTAGACTCAACAAAAAAACAGAAGATGTAAAAAATGAAAATTTTATCACTGAAAAATACAATGACCTTTCAAAAGTTTAGCAGACTTCCTTTGGCCTCCATCTGACACTACTTCCTGAGTCTTCAGCAGAATAGTTGCCCAGATCAAATTTTGGACATATCAAGCCCCCACATTTCCATGAGTCAAGTTCTTAAAGTAAATATTTATATTCATATTATGTCTGTTCCTCTGGAGAGTGCTAACATAATACACCACCCTAATAAATGGGAGCATGACTCTTCCATCATAAAACATTAGCTGCATGTAGAAACCTCCTTATGAACTGTACAGGGTGGGAATAGGAGAGGGAAAAGTAGCTTCACAATGAGAAACATGACAAACACTACCTCAGGTGATCAAGTTCAGCATCAATAGTCAACATTCACTTTGATAATATATACCCTGGAACTAATTTGATGAATAGCATTTTATATCTGTGACCTTCCTCCTAAAAACAAATTATCTCCCTATAAGCACTAGAAAAACTTCAGATAACACAGACAACCAATATTATACAGAATGGTATTCCCCTAATTGTCAGAGTAATGAAAAAAGAAAGATCTGTAAAAATATCATAGCAAAGAGGAAACTAAAGAGATATGACAAATAAATGGAATGTGAGGGACAGCAGGGATTCTAGTATAGAAAAAGAATAAGAGTTAAAAATTGAGAAAATCAAGAATGTTGGACTAAGGAAGTGGCTCAGTGATAGAGACATGCCTAGTATGTGTGAAAACCTGAATTCAATTCCTAATATCAAAGGAAATAAAATCATGAATATTGATTCATTTGTTGTAAGAAATGTCCTTACTTAGGAATAGGATAATAATAATGGGCACTGTGTGTGTAAGGTAGGCTTAAAATACAATCTTTTAATATTATCTGCTCAAATTTTCTGTCAATGTAAAAATGTTTTTAATTGTACTGTAAATGGGTAATAATGAGTGTAATGCATTCCACTATTGTCATGTGTGTAAAAAATAAATAAATAAATTTTAAAAATGTTTTTAAAACACTCTATTTAAAGGTAAAAAAATCACATTCACCATAATATAGTCATCTTCATTTTATCAAATTATTTGACTGACATGAGAAAAACACTAGCCTTGCAGAAACCTCAGAAAGAAGAACATTCTGAAGAAATACAATAAAAATATATCCTTTATCCAAATTGAGCTTCACATGGACAACTTTCAATATCTATATAGGAATGTTAGATTCTGGCCTGGGGCTGTATCTCAGTGGTACAGGTACGTCTGCCTCACACATGTGAGCCACCAGTTCCATCCTCAACACCACACAGAAATAAATAAATAAAGATATTGTGTCTATCTATAACTAAAAGAAAGATTTTTTAAAAGAATGATAGATTCTATGAAATTGTACACTTGTAGATTAGAATGACACTGAGACTCCACTTTTTAGTGTGTTCTATCTGGAAATCATAAATACTTATTTGGGAACTTTACAAACTACAGTCACCAACTGAATTCCAGGCACATAAACTTTTACCTTCCATGTTTGAATTCATTCTTACAAACTCCAAATTTGTGTAAATCATTTCTTTTATAAATCTTTTATTATTTTTGTCCCCAATCAGCTGAGAACTTTTTTGAAAGAAAGCTGGAAAATAAAATAAAAACTAATAATTTTTCTGGTAGCATTAGGTCATTGCTCTTTACACTGCTTTCTTGCATTCTATAGACAAAATCTACACATGTCCAATCACCCAATTGATGAGAGCCTGAAAGAAAAAGTTTCCCCATGACCCCTCAGTCAATGGAATCCTAATCTTACTGCTTTGGAAATATTAGGTATCTCCAGGAATAACTAAAAGATGAGGAGTTGAAAGAAAACATGAAAGTATCATCACATTGGGATCTGAAGGATGTTATCCATAGTCTCCTTCTAGAGTTAACCCAATATGCAAACCAAGGCTAAATTTTGTGGGATGGGAATGGAAGATATTTAAGGAAGTACACAACCTGGGACTTTGGGGGAAAGAAGAATTTGCTAATTTTAACCAATTGTGGGTGATCTGAAAGAACAGAAAAAAACTTTTTTCAAAAACCCAAAGATTGATCAAGAGGACATCGTTCTTCATCTCTTTTGTGTGTCTCTCCCAATTTAGAACTAACTCATCCCCATGACTAAAAATTGAATTTTTCTGGACAGCTGTGGTATCTCAGTATCCCAGCACTTGCCTAGTATATGCAAGGCCCTGGGTTAATCAACACTACTGCAAGAAATTAAATTTCCTCCTTCCCTTTAACCTCCTATTTGTTGTTTGACCCACTTCTTTCGGTATTTGGCTTCCATCATTTCATTAAACCATGAAATGGATCATCAGTAATTTGCTAGGGCCATTTATTAGTCATTGTCTAATGACCTCTTGCAATCATTCACCCAGGTCTTCCTCCTCAGCTCTTGGTACAGTGCTCTCTCCTGTTCCTGCCTCACCTTCCTTACTGCTGCTTCTTATCCTCTTCTATCAGCATTTTTCTCCAATCATCATGATTAAAAATGTAATATTTCCAAGAGTTCTACCCTAATCCCCCATTTCTAGTTTAAAGTCCTCTTCTGGAGTGATAGCATATATTCCCATGCTGGAACTTGCTATCATTATGTAAATGACTTCCAAAATTCTAGACCTCTCTCCTGAAATACAGACAAATATGCCTCCCACTGGACATGTACATTGTGGGTTAACACATTGTGCCCAAAACGTAAATAATCATCTCTCAAAATAAACCCACTATTCATACTATACTGCCCACATCTTTGAACAACTTCTTCACTGCTGCGTTTACAAGGTCAGAATATTATATTCACACTTAACTTCTCTGGGTCCTTTAATCCCCAGTAGTCATCAAGTCTTGGCCTCCTTGATTATATCTGTTTACTCTTCAAAGTTACCTGTCTTCTCTTTCTTCACTAACAGTATCCTTAAATGAGGCTCTCAATGTTTTCCAATGGGATGATGAATTAGCATCTCTTTGGTGCACTATATTTATACATAATAATAGGATGCACTGTTACATAGTCATACACTCACATAACATTGTTCGGTCATTTTCATTCCCCAATAATCTCCAATCCCTTCCTTCTTCTGTTACCTTGGTCCCCTGCCTCTATTCTCTACTTTTCCCTCAATTTTCATGAGATCTGATCCCTTTTCTCTTTTTGTTCCCAAATTATCATATATGACAGAAGACACACAACCAATGACTTTCTCAGTGTGGTTTATCTCACTTAACACAATGCTGTCCACTTCTGTCCATTTTCTAGAAAATAACGCTTCTCCTTACTTTCACCTTTGTCCTCCTAAATCCATTCCATACCTCAGTAGAAGCATGCCTCCTTAAGTCAAATTTGATTGTGTCAAATCCTGCCCAAAATTCTACAATGACTCCACATCACTGACACACTGCAAAACTGGCCTCTGTTCCACCCTTCTTGTATTTACACCCCTTTGCAATCAAGAAGTAGGGTCTCTTTCTTCACCAATAGAATATGAACTGCCTTTAAGACTCCATTTGGCCAATAGAATGTGCAAAAGCTACCAGGATAGTTCCAAATTCAAACTGTAGCATGCCTTGTTTCTTTTCACCCTCTATCATGGAAGTCTGAAAGTGGCTCATCCAAAATGTCAGTGTCTGTGAAGTCAAATAAGACTAGCCATACAAATGCTATTAAGAAAATACAGATGTGTTCTCACACATAATCTAATAGAACTGATGATCCATAGATTTCATTCTGTAGAACCAACCCACGCTATCCTGATGAATAATAAGAGAAATGTGGTAAAGTTTTTCCTTTCATTCCAGCTCACATGCTCTGCTTCAGAAACCAAGTTGCCTCTGATTGGTCCCCAACATCATATGCATGAGTGAGTTCAGCTAGGACCAAAGGAAACTCCCAACTGAGAGCAGTATAAATTACCAAGCCACAGATTCATGAGCAAAATAAATAGCTGTTTCAATTTACTGTTTTAGGCTTGTTTACTAAGTAGCACAGAATATCTTATAATATAACCTTTAGGGAAAAATCAAAATTTTTTATAATAGTATATGACCTTCTTCATGATCTTAATTCAGTTTGCCACCTACAACTTCACTTTAAAGTTTTTCACATCACACTATATTTTCCCAGTCAGGCATGTTTATATTTCACCCAAATTCTTCCATGTTATAATGACATACATAAAATATATCTATGTCATTTGGTAGTAACAGAGGTAGATGTCTCCTCCTTCAGGAAACCTACTCAGCCTCTTGTGCTCACTTCTTACCTGCACAATACTTCTCATCTCATGTTGTAAGTCCTGGTTATTTTGACTATTCTATTAATA